ACACACACACACACACACACACACACACACACACAGACACACACACATATAGTCATCACTGGGAACTATGGCAAGAAAACAGCCTATAGTGTCCCCACATGAGACATTCAGATCAGCCAGATTCAATATTTATCAGCTGATTCCAGTTTGACTAGTTGACAAGATGATTTCAGATGAAAAGAAAAACCTACATCAAGTACAGGTGTGTACATCTCAATTCAAGCATGTGCAATACTTCTTAACAAGTTTGCAGGTCTGCAGAACACAAAGTGGTTCGATTGCGTAGAGAGTCAATGGAAAGATGCGCATAGAGACATGAAGTGAGGTCTTTATGTGTCGGACTCGTACCGAGGCTCCCCCTGCTGGAGGAGCTGAGCTCCTGCAGCAAAGCTCCACTGCTCTTTGACCTGATGTTCCGCCATGCTGGTCCTGAGGAAGAGGAGGAGGAGGAAGGCTTCTTCCCGACACAATCCCTGAAGACAAGAGAGACACAGTTAATATATGACTTAAATCATAGGGCCTCCATCAGTGGACAAACTGCTCTGGACCAGAACCTTCTGTGAACTCACCTGTCGCCCAAGTTCAGGTCCAGGCTGACTGGGCTGCTGCTGTTCCTCTCGCTGCTCTCATATCCGCTCTCCATCCTCTGGATCAGCCTGGGAGGAGGGGGAGGAGGAGGAGGCAGCTCTGCACGTCCTGCACTTCCCCTTGCACTTGCAGGTCTATCTTCACCTCCTCTATGGCTGCTGGAGGTGGTGGGAAGAGTCCAGGAGGAGCCTGGCCTGACAGACCTCGCCTCCTCCTGGGCCGTGAAGGAGGCATCTGCTCCCTCTGAGGCCGGAGCCCCACCGTCGTTGGTCAGGGAGGCTCCGAGCGGGCTGTATCCTGCCTGCCTTCGCCTCTCGCGATTGAAGATGCTGTCGATGTTAAGTGCCTCCCTGCGGGGCCTCCACGCTGGCCGGTATCTCCCTGAACCCGCTCCACCCGAGCAGTTGGACTTGGTCTCGCTGCTGGTGCTGTCGGCCTCCCAGTCATGGGGTTTACTGGAGGAAGGGCAGGGAGAGGAAATGATGGCAGGATAGTGGTGGTTGTCGGTGGAGGAGTGGATTTCAGAGGCGAGGACAGCAGCCGGTAAAGACGAGGAGGACGAGGAGGAGAGGGGTCGGCTGTGGATGATGTTGCTCATGGTCTCTTTGAAGTCTCTGAGGCGACTAGTTGAGGATGAGAAGGAGGAGGAAGGTTTGGGGAGGTGACGAGGAACCTGTTGCTCCTTTAACGTCTCTCCTGGGGGAGGAAAGAGGAAAGATGAGAGGGGGTTAAGAGAGTAACAGGAGGGAGATAAGAGGGGAGAAAAGAGGAACAGACAGAGGAGCAGAGTGAGAAAAGGAAGGAAATGAGGATAAGAGAGGGAGAGAAGCAAGGAGGACAGAAAGAGGAGAAAAGGAGGAAGAAATTGGAACAAAGTAGGCAAGTGAGAACGAAAGAAAGGTAAAAAAACAAAATATATAGAGACAAGTTGAAAAGTAAGATTACATTAGAGTGACTGCAGAAATGAATGAAGGAAGAGAGAACAAATGATTTAATAATAAAAAATGATGACAGCAACACAAGTTCTCCTCCTGTGGTCACAAAAACTGTATTTCATATATTCTTGTGCCTCAAAGAAGCATTTAACGACCAAATGTTAGCATAACGGAACGTCTCAACATTTTATTGCAGCTTCCCTAAAAGCTCAGTTTCCTCACAGCTAATGTTGGAAAAGAAATGGTCTTTGAAATGGTGCTGTTGGCAGCAAGAAATTAACAAAATAAAATAAGGCAATGTATCTTCATAGGATCTAACCAGTTCATGTTATAAGCTGGAAAACTGCCAGATCACCTACTTTAGTTAGCCAACATTCAAGCCTGACACATTTATTAGAAGTTAAATAAGATACATTATATGTTTGAATCCTACTTCCCATTTCCTAATATTTTTGCAATGTATTGGTATAATTTATGTATTATATATTATAGATTTATTTTTCAGCTCTCAAATGTGACGCACGCTATATATATATATGGAACACGGCTCCTAAAACAACCAAATTGAAGGGATCCTTAAATACAAGCAGATTTTCAACATCAAAAATCCAGTGTTGGTTGAATTTCATTCAACATGTTTAATAGTAGTTCAGTAGTGCCCAGTAGTTCCCTCTCTGCCCTGTGATCGGCCCCTGTGATTGGCCCCTGTGCCCGGCCCCTGATTAGCACAAACACCCCTGCCTACCCTCACTGTGGTAACCAGCCGACGGGGCTTCGTTGTCGAGTTTAGATCGCCGGTGGCGGCTAGAGCTCCGCCTCCTATCCCCGGCCCCGCCTCCCTTCCTCAGAGACTGGTGCTGCTCACTGTCCGTCACGTGGCCTTAGCGACAAGAAGCATGGTAACAGATGTTTACAGCATGGTCACCACATCATGCGACACAAAGTAAAGACGAATGGCAGAGCGTGAATGACTGCACAGCAAGGTCGTACAGGAAAATAAAAACAATACAAACAAACTGTATTCTTTGCCTTCCAAAGATTGTCAGGCACATCCATCCCTCACTGGAGGCATTACTGTACCTCACTACCATCTCATTTCTAGCCTCCTATACTTCACCCGGACAACTTTTTCTCCTGCTACCCACCTACGGTATCCAGGCTGCAGCGCTCGGTGTGCAGGGGTCCGTCTGGGCGCTCGGTGCAGATGACGGTTCCCTGGGAGTCAGAAGAGTAGCGACTGGCCAGGGACTCATGGTGCGAGTCGGAGGGCTGTCGGTACGAGTAGCTCTCCGTCGACGAATCGGTGCGAGTGTCGCTGGAGATTGACTGCTCGCGGCCTGGCCGAGCGGGTGGAGGGGGATGGGATTAGTAAACAAGTCGAGGCGTCAGTGGGGATGTGCTCATATACACGCACACACAAACATACATCATATCAGACACGCCTGAACATCAATGCTGCTACAACTACTGCTACAACTACTTCTCTAACGGTTAGCTTTCTGTTAGTTACCTCAGTCTTGTCTGTCATAGTACTATTACTACTACAACAACAAGTACTACCGTTTCTGGTTTAGTTACCTGAATGTTTGCGGTTGTGCTACTACTACGACTCCTAGCTGTGTTGTAGTTACCCGAGTCCTCGCTGTCGTAACAGGCCTTGTTGAGGTGGTGGAGGTCGAAGCGGGAGGGCAGGTCCTGGACCGACACCGGCGTTCCCCGCGGGTCAGCGTACAGCAGCAGCAGAGGCTGGTAGTGGCCCTTGATGCAGCGAGAAACCACGTCCTTCCACTTGGGACCAATCTGAAGGGGAGCAACACAAACACAGCGGACAATGAATCCTAAAGGACACGGTACAAGCTGAAACCGGGACCTCTGCATAGACTCACACCTCTAATGTTTAATCAGCATTTCATATCTTCTGCTGTGCAGTTCATTTTCAGGTTGATGTTAAAAGTTGTCAACATCAAGTATCACTAAAAAGACAAATTGTGCCTTCACAGACAACAAAAGAGTAAATTCAGATCTCAATGGAATCTTTGAGTTTTAGGCATTTTTTTAACTTTTTAAAATGTTGTTAAAGGTTGAACCTAATTAGATTCAATTAGTGATTTAAAGTACCCAATTAAAGGTATTTAACTTAGGTAGAGACAAACAATACTAAGCCCTACTGACCACATGTTTAGAAATAGTATTATCCTTTATATATAAAGCTTTTCCACATCAAACCATTACCGGAAATGAATTTACCAGCCGCAGTAAAGACGTCCTGTTCACCTCGAAAACACTGCTCGGCAGCTAAAACAGTGACGGCAGCTGAAATTTTGGAGGCGGTTTCATCAGGCTGTTGGTAAAGAAAACGTCGTCTTCCTGTATGTTTTGTTTGTGAAACAAATCTTCCCGCTTGTTATTTCAGCTTTCACTCCATTTTCCCACCACCAAAAAGGAAAGTCCTCGTTCACCTCCAGATCTGCTCGGATCTAACAGGACGTCCCGAAATCCCAAAACTCCGACCCGTCTGTAAACCATGTACCGCTCAGTGTTTGAAAAAAATGTGTGCGTTTGTACAAGTGAAAGAAAGAGATGTGTGAGCAAAAGCGTCTGCTGTGGTGTGTGTATGTGTGTGCGTTGACCACACCCTCGGTCATGTCCAGCTGGACAGATCAACAATAGAGGGATATCCTTGTTTTCGCAACCAGCAGCGAGAGAGAGAGAGAGAGAGAGAGAGAGAGAGAGAGAGAGAGAGAGAGGGACATAGAGGGAGTGGGGGAATGTGATATCTCATGATTCCATCAATGTTATTAGAGTACAGCCATAATAGAAAAGAGTAAAAGTAAAAGAGGATAAGAAGGTAAAGAAAAGAGGTCAGAGAGAAGTGTGAGAATGAACAGAAAGAGGTAGAGAAAGATCACGACTACAACACGAGGTCATTTCCTTTCCTTAAACGGCCGACACATACTCACATTTGTGCTTCTATACCTGCAATGACCCTCAATAAATACCCCCCAGTGGTGGAGCTCATTTTAATTTCTTCATATACTGGATATCTTGTGAATTTTATGAGAATTTGAACAAATAAAGCACATATTTGTTTAAGATTACCAACGCTACCTTTAAAAAAAGTTAAACTTTAAAAAGTTTGTCTTACACTGCATTAGTGGGCCAACCAAATGTTGCATTAAATCCCAGAGCGATTGCAGCGATTGGCTGCGAGCAAAACCTTACAAATTGTATTTTTTTTTTCTAGATCTTGGCACAAAAAGGATTGATTGCAGGTATCGTTTGACGTATAGTGGTACTGGTTTATTTCGATATATTTTGATACCCAGCCCTAAATAAAAAATATTTGATTGAGTAATTATCTTAATCATTGTGCCCTACTACCAACCTACCAACACCATGCATTTCTGAATATACCTCCTTGACGTGTGCATCATCGAAGTACATCCATCGCCGGATCTTTGTCTGGAAAAAGAAGGTCGAGTAATGCTTCCCGTAGTAACACACCATGCCGACCAGGTAGAGCTCGGACTGACGAGCCTTCTCCTCCGTCACCCTGTAAAACAACTGAGAACAAAGAGAAGAAGAGTTCAATGAAGCAGCTTAACTGATTCTCTAACACTGTACGCTGATGACTCAATGATGTACATCAATGTGTTTGTTTAAAAACTTCATACATCCCCGAGACGCAGGCAGGTTCCCAGGGTGTGAATGACGTCCTCAGCGAGGTCCGACTGCTCGGAGTCCCAAACCAGACCGATGGTGATGATCTCCGGACTGTTGAGGAGGACACGAGCTATCCTGAGCTGCTGACCACACTGACTCTGAAGAAGGGGAGGAACATTTACATTGATGTGAAACGGTGCAAATCTTTACATCTGAGAAGCTGTAACCATTTGATTAATAATAATTTGTCATGAAAATGTCTCACGGGACAGCTGCGCAGGTCTCCCATGCTGGCGTTTCGCAGCAGCTCCCCGAACATGCCGGGAGTCGCCTTCTCCCTCGTCTCCAACATCTTCACTGCCTGGTTACTGAGGAGGACAAGGAGGAGATATTACCTTCATAGCTCTAGTTTATGACTTTCACAGTATTCTCTTTGTCCTTTGTTACATTTACCATCACATGCAAATCACACACAAAAACATAATTAGCTAATTAGCCTGATTAGTGCAAAATAAATAAAAAGATGTATAAAAAAATAAAATCACCTGTGTGTGTGTGTGCCATGATGAAGAGAGCGATAAGTCGGTTGCCTAGGTGACCCTGAAGTGTAACCTAGCGACATGAGTGTTTGTGCGGGGGGGCAATTTACCTCTTCTGAGATAGGAGCTAAACATAGAGTCCCACACTAAGACTTACCACAGAGAGGTGGTGGAGATGTAGTGGACCATCTGAATGAAGGGTAGAGGGTCTGAGGACGCTCCACAGCTGCTGCACACACACTGACACACACACACACACACACACACACGTAAACATCACATCTGGTGCTGTAATTTAGACATTTTGACAAAGAGCTTGATATGATATTGAAAATAAACCTCAACAGATAGTATGATATTATATTTTGAAGATATTTATTTTATTGTTTTATTTTGAAGACTTTTATTGACCTGAAAACTTTGAGAAACAAACTTCAATAAACTTAGGTTTAATGTTTTCTTGTCATTTGTTTCCGGCGGAGGAGAACTCGGCTGGTGAACACTGTTCACAGTCTCACCTGTTCGTAGAGCGTCATAGCAAACTTCTGGTGGGGGATGCAGTGTCTGGCTGTGCAGATGTCTTCTTTGGTCTCATCTGCAATGTGGAAGTGGATCCTCATCAGGATGTTTTCCTGCAGAAACACATAGAACAGCAATGATCATCAACTGTTTACAACAAAAACAGTTCCATTGTCCTTTAAATACCTCCCACTACTAACTATTTTACAGTGATGAGTGAAGAAGCACTGCATGAAGTTTTCTGTAGTCTTACAAAGCACTCTGCAGCGTCGTCCATGATGCCGAGCTGAAACCTCTGCTCGTCCTGGAAGGTTTTTGCGAGCGCGCTGCGAAGAGCGTCCGACGGTAAAACTCTCTCACTGCTGTACTGAAACTGAGCGAAGATACTCTGAAGAACGAGGGGATACAGACACATGGAGAGTGTTAGAAACAGGGAAGCTGGTCCGGGATCAGCTTCAGATTTCAGTAAGAGAGATTCTCACCTTCAGAGCGCAGAAAATGCACGAGTCCTCCATACACTTATGAGTTGTCAGCTGACGAAAACTACGCCTGAAGATATCAAGGTGCCACAGAACCTGAGAGACAGAGACGGAGGGATGACGTCAGTAAACAACACAAAGGAAATAAACACACACACACACACACACACACACAGGTCACCATTCAAGGTGCAACAGATGAAACTAAAGAAATAAGGCGGAGGAAGGATCGGAAATTCCACTCAGGATTTAATAAAAACAGTCCCATTGTAAAATAATAAAACTGACAACCCTTCCATAAAAATCTCCCACTGGTGTACTGTATCCCCCTCCCCCAAAAAACAGAGTCAAAGCAATCTTTCTTCAACAAATGCCTGCCAAGATCTGATCCCAAAATCTCAGCAGACAAAGAGCAAGAAATAAAGAGTTTACAGTTTGAAATAATCCTGGTTTAAGAGTTCGAAAGATTATCAAAAACCCTTTCTGTCCACAACTCTGCGGTAAAACTCTTTCAGCCAGAAGACCAGACGACCACTTCAAGAAAACTATCGTAAAAAAATGTTTACAAAAAAAATGATGTGGACTACAAGGATAAAACTGGATTCTCTCCAATCAGAGTTTAAGATTTTAAATCCTTAAAAATCGGAACAGATGTGTCTCAGTGCTGCAGCGGCCGCTCTGCCTCCACTAAAAGGCTCAATGTGACGCGAGATACCGGCCAATCACCTGTCAGCACAGTCACACTGCTGTTGAGACCACAGCCGGCCAATCAGAGAGCTTTTTTATTCAAGTGACCTGAGGACAAGCTGAGATGTGTGTGAGTGAGAGAGAGAGAGAGAGAGAGCGAAAGAGACTTAGTGAAAAACACAAGTAGAAACATGAAAGAGAGTGTGTGTGTGTGTGTGTGTCAAACTGTGTTCATCACTCTCTCCATCTGCTTCAGGAAACCATCTGGCCTCCTGTGTGATGAAGAGTGTGTGTGTGTGTGTGAGAGACAGAGTGTGTTAAAATGAGAGTAATGTTGAGATAAAGTGTGCGTGTGTGTGTGTGTGTGTCAAGACGATAAACAGGGTAAAAAAGACAGAACATGATGTGTCACATGTCAGACAGAACAAATATCACAAAAGCCATGTTTTCATTCAATTGTCAAGCACATTTTAAGCAAACTTTTGAAAAGAAATGTGAATAAGTCGCATTTCTATTAACTAGTTTGGAGCGAATTAACTCGGCTACAGGCCACGTATAAAAGTACGGTTACATATGTGAGTATTTGGTGTTTTTTTTGTCACATATGATAGTAAAGGAAATATCTTTGCGTTTTGAACCGACAGACGCACAGAACAAGCTATTTGAATCCACACTGATTGCAAAATGTTTTCTGGAATAAACAAATGATTAAGAAAAAAGGCAGGAAAATTGTTAAACTTGCTAAAATCTTATCTCATCCACTGAGCTGCAGCTGCAGCAGTTACAGTGTTAGACTGAGAGGACTGAACAGCCTCCTGCGACACAACACCGTCACAACAACCACACCTTTAGTTTAGAGGTCTGACAGCCTGCTATCACATCTAAACAAAATCATAACTATCATCATTACTATTATCATTGTTACTACTATGGTGTTGCAGCAGCACAAGGTCAGAAATATGTTCAAATAAACAGAGAAAGACAGAAAAGGAAAGGTGACTACGTGTGAACGAGACCATAGATGTCACAAACCATCGGACAGATCTAAAAATCAGAATCTTGATTCCCAGAAGGTAAAAGGTAAGGTGTGTAAATTCAAGTTCTGTATCAGTTTCAGACAGGACCTTTATGGAACAGAGCTGCAGTTCAGTCTGCATGCACAGAGATCACATAGAGTCTCCTAAACCATGACACACACACACAGAAGGATTTTAACCAGCTGTGACGGTGGGTTGTGAAGGCAGCCAGAGGTTTCATAACAGGATCAGAAACCATCAGCACAGAAACTCAGTTCCAGCCGCAGATGAAAACAATTTTATTTAACATTTTCATGTGAAAGTGTTTCAGTCAGTTTATGTATATATTCTGTACCTGTCTGCTCAACCCACAATATTCACACAGCTCATAAGAATATATTTGTTTCTGTCCAGAGACTTTGGGAGACGACTCTCCTGCTGAGCGGCAGGAATTCAGACATGGAGGAATTTTTTCATCACTTTATTAATGAGAAGGATTTTTAAAAAGAGCCGCAGCGGTACGGAGGTCAGAGTCGGGTACAGCTTAAATCCTTGGAGGGATGAACAATTATTTTACAAAACAGAACTTTGCCTCAGTTTGAGGCATTTTTTTTGGCGATGGTCAAAGTGAATGTGTGTTATAAAATGTAAGACTACAAGTCATGAATGTACAGAGGGACAGAAAACTGGACTAGAGCTGTAATCAGTCGATTAGTCCATCGACAGAACTATATTTATAATCGATCAATCTTTTCTCTCGCTTCAGGACAGACAGACAGACAGACACTTTCTAAAAATGACAGAAGGTGTGTTGGAATAGAAGCCCTGCGGTGTGAATCTGGTACATCTTTGGACAGGAGTCCTCAGTGAAACATACTGTGGTGTCAGCACTTTGGGTGTGTTTGTTTTCTCCTGCCCCCCCCCCACGAGGTCCAATATGTTATTTTATTCCTGCAGGACGAAGCAGCAGCGCTCAGCAGGTCAGCCAGGTAATGAACCTTCAGCACAGCGATGTACAAGACAAATCCCTTTATACTTTCATTATTATATCATTTCATCTACAAAATGTCAGAAAACAGTGAAACATTCCCGTTATCATTTCACACAGCCCAAGGTGAGCTCTTCAAGTGTTTTTCTGTCACATCAACAGTCAGATATTCACTTTAATGTGACAAATAAAAGCATCAAGTCATCACATCTGAGATCAACTAATCGCTGCAGCTCTCGTTTCAGTTCTTTTGATTTGAAAATCAACCTGCAGAGAAAATTCATCACAGTCAAGTGTTATTATTCAAGTGTTGGCCATTCAAGTTACATGAAATCACTGCATGATGATGCAGACATTTGACACGAGAACAGGAACCTCATTAGTGTCAAAAACATACAAGACTTGTGACTCAAAGCCATCTGGTGCAGCAGGGATGAGACAGCGGGAGGACGGATGGAGCAGCAAGCTGTGAGGTGGGTGGGAGCGTCCGTCGGGAGGGTAGACAACTGAGGAACGGAGGAGGCCGCACCGTAGATTCCGATGAATTCTTTAAATATCTGAAGGAGGTGCGTTCTAGTGACTCTTAAACACAGTCAAAGGACTAAATAAGGTTTCTCAACATCGACTGAGATGGATTATATTTCTACACTACAGTTGAAAAATGATGAATCTCCTGCCACAAAAGCTTGATTGAGGACAGTCAGAGAGGTCTACTCTATACTTTTGAATGGTCTTTCATGCTTTTAGGTTGTAGGAAGGCCTCTTTACAATATATTAAGAGTTTGTTTTGGTGAGTAATTGAATTACTGTCTAATTAAATAAAGTCAAACGAAGCAAAATCGGAGCGCTGGATGTCGTGAGCAGCAGGGAGGATGAAGATGTGTGAACAGCAGAACTAAAGGCCTCAGCTGCTTGTTACCACGATGTTCTTCCTCTTCGCTTTGTCTTCATCACATGTCGGAGCTGCTAAGCCTCCTGACGACTCCCCCCCCCCCCGGTCCGCCATGCTGCCTCCACTTCCGTCAGCTCAGCTGCTCGCAGCCTCACACTCCTTTTGATCACTTTGTTTTGACGTTAGGCAACGGTGACAAGTCAAGAAGAGCAGATGGACGGTTGGAGAGTTGAAGGGCTGTTGGAGGAGCTGGAGGGGGTCAAGGTGGTGAAGGTGGTCGGTGCAGAGAAGTCACGAGGAAGTGTAAGAGTTCACGGTACACTGGTCTCGTGTGGTGGTTGGGGTGGGGTGAGTTACCTCTCTGATTTACTGTGGTGGGCATACTGTGTTCATATTATAAATCTCAAAGACTAACTAAAATGGAAGGAGTTTGTCCTTTGATTTTGTCGACAACTGTTCCTCCGATCATCGTCACACTTGGCGGGTGTATTACGGAGGACCCAAGGAAGTGCAGTGTTGAGTACGAGCTCTTGAGATCTACGGGACCTATCAACTGTTACATCGCAGCACGGCATGCTGGGTACAGCTCGCTCTCCGTCGCACGCTTCAGGGAACAGATAATGAAAGAGACGAGAGATCTACGGGATATAATTATCATCAACTATCGACAGGCGTTCATCCGATCACATTTGGCGAGTGTATTGCTCAGGACCTAAGGAAGGGCCGTGTGATGACAAGTTGTTTGGATGAGCGGTTCAGAAAGCAAGTCAGAAGCCAAGCAATCAGTCCGTTACGAATAGACACGTTTTCAAGAACCGCACTAGTCTTATAAAAACTAGGTGGAGGCTGATGTTTTGTAGGATGCAGGTTATATTTCCTACCTAGTTGCGTTCCATGAAGGGAAGGCCTTGGTATTGTGTGAGCGAGCTCACTGGAATAGCTCACTGGGACACTTATGGAACTGAGCCATTGTTATCCAGTCTACCTGTGCTATTCCTCATACGACAAGTCAAAATGTCTGCTATGGAAAAAAGGTCCATTAGACAAACAGAAAGTTGATTAGCAACCGTTTTTAAAATGAATTGACTGTTTCAGGCATTTTTCAAGAACAAACACCAAACACATGCTCGTTCCTGCTTCTCAAATGTGGGGATTTACTGTGACTTACATTTGCTTAAAACAAGTATAAAGTTATTTTATTTTAATTTATGTTCATGCATTAATCCGTTAATGAGAAGGTTGTCAGGCATGAGTGTAGCTGAAACATTAGAGTGCACTGTTTTTTTAGCAAAAGCCAGTCGATGTACTATAATTACCTCTCCAATGTTTTTTTTGTGTAGTTCAACCACGAAGGATTGACAGAAAACAATGCAGCTTGTAATCCAGTGCAAGCGTTAGTAATTTGATCCGATTGATACCAGCAGCCCCGTTTACTCTCCTGCAGCTGAATCAGAGCTGGATTAAGTTTCTGCTCATGCTAACAAAACACGTCCTGCTGGTGCTGCTGCTTCACATTCAAAGACTTCAACTGAAACACAGGGACGCCTTTATTGTGAAACAGTCACAGGAGACAATTTGTTCTTTAACATTCTGTCAAACTCACGAGGCACATAAAAAAAGATCAAAATCGATGCAGCAGGACCAGAGATGTTGTCCTTTTACATTCCACACATTCTTCCTCCTCGCCAAAACCTGGCGCCTACACAACCCACAATGCAACAGGACATTTATCTGACATCACAAGGCTTTATACTACTTTTAAAACATGTGCAGTAGTACTCATCAACACCTGAAAATATCACCGAGGTGTGAATTCAGTTCCTATTTAAGGATTACAACTCTATACAGATTAAGGGTTTCTACTGTTGACAGATGACACCGTGGCGTTTGTGTGCGGTGACCTCTGACTATTGCTGTTGAGCTCATACTGAGCTTCAGTTAAACAATGTAATGAGTGTTTCCTCTTCAGCCGAGTCTGTCATTTCAGCAGCAGCCCCACCCTGCAGGGTTAATGAGTCAGCCTCCGTTTGAAAACCAATAATTACTGCTCTCACACCGTCTCAGCTCTAATTGTCGAGGCACACAACACACCTCCTCCTCAAACTCCTATTTAAAAAGCTGAGTCATAAATAAGTGTAACGTGCATTCTGGGAGGTGTTACAGGCTCCTGGAGGAGGCTCATTACAGGCTCACTTAAGCATGGAGGAGATTATCAAACTGGTTGTTATGTGGATGGTGCAGTCATCTGTCTGACTGCTGTTTACCAACCACAGCGTTGCCTGATTGACTGGCTCAAAGGCACAGTGGTGAAGCTTTCTGTCACCATCTACATTGGATGCATTGCAGAGTAATACTGACGCACATAGAAGTACCTTTACACAGATACTGCAGTCATCGAGAGGCTACAGTGTTAGCAGCTCTGTGAAACAAACGCATAACAATCCGTTTGTTCTTGTATTTTCAACAGACAGTAGTTAAAGTGTCAAAGACAGAAAAACCCCTCTTGCTGGGGACTGATGGAGTATTTTTCCCGCTGTCAACTTTGGTAAACTCGTCGGGCTATTATCATATTTCAAGCAACATTTCAAACACCTCTGTATTACACTGAACTAATACAACTAATACAACTGTGGTGTAACACCGACACACCGTCCGTGTGTTTTACACAACTCTCTCTCTCTCTCCGTTGCTGCTGAACAGGAACCTGCAGGCCGGTCTTATAGCTCCGCCGTAACATTTTCTCTCACCATAGTGTGACCGACTAGGGACAAGATGCGCTTGTAGTGCTAACCTCAGCACATGTTGCTAACAGCGTACAGCTAAACGTTTCAAGAAGGAACTCGCACCTGTGAACTGTAGTTCAGCATTACGTGCACCAATCTACATATCCTGTATCCTGCGTGCACCGGATCGTAACCCTGTACCGAGACGGTTCTACGCAAATACAAGAACCTTTACGGTCCTAAAGTTTATCTGCATGCTATTTTTTCAATTAATTTGTTACAATTTTGTCAAACAAATAATGAAAATCTGGAAGATACTGGCAGATTAATCAATAATAAAAACCATCTTAAATTGCGGCCATAATTTATTCAAAATGTTTAATATCGCATGTCTTCAAACACTGTTTTCCCCCTGGACCTGAGAGGGAAAGTCAGCATGTACGCTCTACAACAGGCACACTGAGCTTCCTGTCAGTGGTCAGTACACGTATTCTCTCAACACGGGGTCAACCGGTCAGAGAGAATGTGCATGTATGTGCGTGAAAGAAAGAAGTCAATAGAGAAAGAAATGACAGAAAGTCTGAGTGTACCTGCAGGGCGCTGTTCAGGAAGCAGCTGTTCTGTCCCGGCTCGTTGCTCAGCCCTTTACTGGGAGCGATGGACGTCATGGTGCGAGGCGTCAACATCCCCTGCATCCCCACACCACCATTGCTGCCGCCAGCACCGCTTCCACCTCCGCCGCCTCCACCTGACGCGAAGTAGTTCCTCTTCCACGACATTTTTCCCGCTCTCTCCTCTTTTCGCTCTCCTTCTTCGTGGTCTCTCGGCCTCGCTCCTAGCAGGAGTCAGCTTCCTGTCTTCCGTTCTCGTGTCGTGGGAGACAGAGACATTTCCTCCGGCGGACGGGAGGATGAAATTCTAAATATGATGAAGACTCCCAACAACAGAATGGACAAGAGCAAGGAGGAGGAAACAAAAATAAACCGCAAAAAAAGAAAGAAAGAAAAAAGTCTGCTCCAAAAAAGAAGAATGCAAATAAAGTCCTCAGTAAAAGATTTAGTTGAACAGTGTTCTTTAACTAATCTCTACCTTCTGCATTTTTTAATTCCAAAAACTGCACTAAAATATTAAAAAAAACTTCTGTATCTCAGGTTTTAGGTCCATAAATTCCAAAGGTTTTCTGTGTGAACTTCCTGCGCTCTTCTTCTTCACACTTTCAAGGACTCAGCCCTCTCCGTGTCCGAGTGTTGCAGGTGCGACAACCTTTGCGCTCCTTTCACACGGCAATATGTGCAGCTGAGCCGTGACCTCGCGTCATCCTCCTCTTCATCATCATCACCACACTAGCCAAAAGGCTAGTCAGAGGCTCAGGACGGATCTGCAGAAGAAAGAAAACAACATTCAGACTGTTAGACGGTCATCACAGCTCAGGGATGGTTTTTGCTGATGCAGTTTATTTCACACAATCAGTTTCTGCAGTATTTACCTAATATAAATATATTAAGAGTTCTATAATACCGCATAGAAAACAATCTGATACCTTTTTCACCATCCTATCGATCAAACAATGACAGAAGATGATCATGGTCATTCATCAAGAACATACATTTTATCACATTTTTGTCAGTACTTCAATTGTTTACAACAATAATTCCTTGTAAAATAATGAGTCAATATTTATTGTTTGCAAGTCAAACAGCTTTACTAAGCGTTTATGAGTAGCTGAGCTTCCTGGCTAACAGCCAGAAGTTTTAACCGATGTCTACAGCAGACCATAAAAAGATAGAAGAATGTGAATGTCTTAATTCAATACTTCAAGTGCTACAGAATCTGTGTTAAAGACTACTGATCCCGATCAGAAGCAGACCTTTTTTATTTGGCCTTTATGTAAGGGCTTTGCATCTCTACCTGGGGATATTAGACACTAAATTAAAAACAAAGCTGATGAATAAGCTGCATGCTGATGAATATTGTGAAGCTATAAAATTGAAGAACAATGTGAGCAGTGTTCAGTAATGCAGACATTAACCCAACATTACTCTGTAAAAAACAGACCTTAAAGCCTTTAAATCTCTTTTAAGACTTTATATTGAGACAATGTACGACTTCTGCAGACAGAAGAAACCATCCTCCTCCTCCTCTTCTTCACACTGCAGTCACAATAACAGACGGAGGCATTCACAGCCTTTTCTTTGTCTCTCTCATCTCATCTATACCTTGCTTTCTCTCTCTCAGTGGTTTATTGACCTGACTGTCTACTTGTGCTGCCAAAGACTTCAAGCCTTTTTTTTGCCAAGTAACACAAAACACACACATTGAATGAATGTAAAAACACAAAGATTTTAACAATGCAAATCTATACAGTAAAATCTGTCAGAGCTGCAGAGGAATAATCTTACTGACAAGATGGGATAAGAAAAGATACAAACTTTTGAACCATCAGAATAACTGTGCAAATTAAATAATGTGAAATACATGCATGAACACAGATTTCAAAAGATTTGACTGCAGTAAATATTTAACCTTTTCTCAATTTGTCAGCTTTAAATGTGAAAACAAACCAGTCAAACCTCACATGCTGCTCTGCAAACCTCAAGAACAAAGACTGAACATGTTGTGAAAGTCTTAAAGAGACTGTCGAAGTCACACTCTGGGATTTTACCTCATTTTAGTTCGGCAGTAAATAAATAAGTACATTCATAAATGAATCAACACAGAGTGAGAGAGGCGGGAAAGTAAGTCTATGTGTGTGTTATGTAGTTAGTGTGTGAGAGAGGTAAACTGCCGGTCAGAGCAGAGGGAGGCGAGGAGGGATTAGCCTGATCAGACTCTGTCTGTCTGCACCGGATTAGACTGTCTGTGTGTGTGTGTGTGTGTGTGTGTGTGTCCCTCACTCCTCCATTAACAACATTCATTTTGTTAATTGCAGCCGGTCATCAGTTCAAAGTAGAATCCGAGTGTAAAAATGTTAACGTGTGTATCTAGATTTCTGTTCATTTATTCTCTGTGAGATGATAATAAACAACAACAGATCAAAAACACCTTCAACAGCAAGATGCAGAAGCCACCAACAGGAAGTGGGCTACTATCTGAGACCAAGACCAAGCTTATGAAGCACATTTTCCCGTGATAAATAAACCAACCAACAGTGACACGAACACGATCAGTCAACAAACAGTTTCATATTTGATAGGTTCAAAGAAAAAGAAGGTTTCTTTGTCAGAGTTTGAGAAACTTGTGTGAAAAGTCTTGAGAGAAACTTTATGGAGACAAAAGGGTCTTGATGACATTTATGAACCATGACGCCATTTTCTAGCTGCCATCACAGCAGTGAGGTGGAAACACGTCGTTCTCCTGAATGATTACAGCTTTTTATATCCTACAGAAACACATTAGGGTCCCGAGGTCGAGTCAACACCAGGGAAATGTTAATTAAAAAAGGAAAGAAGTGTAAAATGAAGACTAAGTGAGAGGCCGTTAGGGGCTTATGGAGCCAGGAGGATTAGAGAAATGGACCTTAATAAAACCCTGGTGACGTTCACACTGAATAACAGAGATGAGCACACAAACATGACTGCACTCATATCTCTGCTTCCTGCTAATAAAACTAAAATCTGGATTAAAAACTTTTTCAGGAAATGAGAAGAGAAGCTTATTTATTTTTCAAAGGGTCATTTCACCCTAAATGGAGTATATAGTTTAGGTTATATTTGTCCATGTTAGGAGGTATCCGTCTCCAATAGAATTGAGGTAAATGGAAAGAAAAATACATAAATTGCAAAATCCCAAATGAAATGATTATCCTCATGAAACAACTCAGACCAGTAATCAAGTGGTGGGACAAAAACTAAAGTGCAAAGTGGCATTATAGGATTTGATTGCTCCAACAAGGTCTCATACACTGAATATTTAGTTAGCTTTAGTTAAACAGTATTAGAAAGGGAAGTGAGACTGTTGAGCTGGTTCGATGATGACAGATTTAAACCAACTTTGAGGGATCAAACCTTCAGAAATTGGGAGGGAAGGAGGATCACAGCAATGAGAAATATATTGAGTTTTCACGGTTTTGAAATAGACATGGATTAGAAAATTACAATGCATACAAGACTTAAGGTAGTCTTAGTGCTGTAGGCTACTAAAACCTAGCTCCTCTACTATGTACCTTGAGGCTCAATGGGAGCGGGAAATGAACATTTAAATTACAACAGTGAAGCACAGCACACTGCTTCAAATTCAAGAACACGGAGGGAGTCTCGGTGGAAAAATCTAAACGCACTTCTTCATTATACACCTAAAATAAACAGTAAACAAACCGGTTGACAACAATCTTGCTGGCGGGTATGTGGGAATAGAGAGGCTAATCACACACACATTTTTGGGCCAATGTCATACATTTTACTCATGGTGTACCTTGTAGCTATCAGCACTAGCTATAAAAGTCGCTAAATCTAGTGAGAAAGACGCCAAGTCGGCAACACTACAACTCCTCCCTTCAGCTCCCTTTTTTCCCCAGAGCATTGTTTTTATTTTTTGTTGTCAGGATGTAAAGAGAATTTCAACAAAAATGTTTCTAAAATACAACACCAACCACCAACCCTAGCTTTAAGGTTGCAACTATTATTTTCAATATTGATTCATCTTGCAATAAGTCTCTTGATTAATCGTTCATCACACTTTTGTGACATGAAATGGGTCCCAGGTGTCCGTCTGTGTACCTGGACAGCAGACGAACCAATCAGAGAGTCAGGATTACTTCAGCTGATTAGAGGTCGCTTCCTCTCCTGGTGAGCACTGAGACTGCTTTGGTGTAAAATCGGTTATATAACAAAATGCCAGTCTGTCGCAGAGGCTTTACACACACACACACACACTATAATCACCTCTAATTCGCCAGGCTGGCTCGGATCCAGCTCCATGCAGCCACTCTGCAGGGCTAACAGGAGAACTACCAGGAGACTTGATGCTACTGGGAACACTGGGATGAAGCCAGCAGGGATGGAGACGTGGTGAAGCAGAGATAAAGGGCCTGGCAGCAGGCAGACAGACAGTATTGATCTGATTCAGACTGTCCCGTCAGGTGAGTTCACAGATTTCAATCGTTTTCAGACCTATTTTCACCATGCTACAAACACCTGTTAAAACAACATCAATATTTGTAGAAAATGTGTGTGATGGAGGGAGAAAACACTCAATAGTATGAGGAGGTGATGGTGGATGATCCCAGAAATAGAAGGTAGAGAGGAGGAAGAGGAAACAACTGTTTTTAGAAGATGGTCATTTAACCTTATTTTCTTTGCTGCCATGACACGGACATGCATTTAAAGTAAAATATTTTCTAAGAAGCTTTCTAGGCGGGGGAACCGAAGCTCTTTTAGCCGCCGACCTCGTTGGCAGTCAGTCTACGAGGAAGATTTGGGGTCTAATGACTAAAAAGGAGAGCTCATGAATATACAGCCGTCCTTTCAGAGCTGCAACTGCACCAAAATAACTCAAGAGAATTTGGGAATGTGGAGCACTTCAATCACTTAATTCTACCCAGTGAAAGGAGGAATTAGCTGCTTGTCGTGTCCCTCCGAGACTCTCAGACAAGCCGACGTCTTGACTCAGTCAAGGACACTTGAGCTGTGGTGAACAGTGACTGTGGCTGGTTCATGACGAGATACAGGCTGGTCTTTCTACACCAACACGATGAACTCTGACTTGGGCTGAAAGCTAACGTTAGCTCGATGATCCCGCCACGATAACGTTACACTTGTTACAGAACATGAGCAGATCAGCGGCAGCGCCGGGTCCCTGTTTTGAAGGGAAAGAACGTATTTTAACACCAGATGTGTAGAAAGACCCATGATTCACATGATATTATTTAAATAACATATCAAGTACAATTATGAGGTACTTGCACTTTCCTTGAGTATTTCCATTTTATGCAGCTTTCTACCTCTACTCTACTATCTCAAGGGGTATTATTGTACTTTTTACTTCACTACATATAATTTAAGTTACTTTGACGATTTTACATACAATATGCTTAGGCTTTGTGATATAATGCAGTACTACCTATTAGTATATAACATGTAGAATTGTCTCTACGTGTATTTCTTAGTAAAAGAAAATGAATTGAATATCCTATGATAACCCTGAAATGAATACTAATTGTAAGGAAGTATTCTCAGACTATGATGTACTTTTATACTAAAGTAAAAGGATCCCAGCAGAAATGTAGAAATTTTTGCAAATTTATTAAAAAAGGAACTGAAATATGCTGCCACCACCATGTTTCACTGTTGGGATTGTATTGGGCAGGTG